GGTCAGCAGCAATCCATCCGGCCCTCCTCTGGATCCAGTCAGTGTATAGTGAGTCCAGATCCAGAAGAGGACTCCCTATGATGCCCTGGGCTGTTCTCACCACCTGGGTCAAGTCCTTTCTGTCCTGTGCAGTGCAGCTCCTATATCAAACTGGCACTGAGACAGAGGATGCTCTCTACTGTCGCTCTGTAGAAGTTTGCGAGCAGCTGAGAGGAGAGACCAGCGTGTTTCAGCTTCCTGAGGAAGAAAAGCCTTTGCTGGGCTTTGTTCACCAGGTAGGATGTGTTCAGAGACCAGGACAGATCAGATGTGATGTGGATGCCCAGGAACTTGATGTTATCCACTTGCTCCACCACCTCCCCGTGTATGAGAAAAGGAGCATGTTTTGTCTTCCTGGACCTCCCATACAGTAATCCACAATCACTTCCTTAGTCTTGTTGGTGTTCTGACCACCACCTTGTCAGGTGCTGGATCTCCTCTCTGTAGTGAGTCTCATCATTGTCTGAGATGAGACCCACTACGGTGGTGTCGTCCGTGAACTTCACTACTGTGTTTGTGGAGTGAATGGCATCACAGTCATGGGTAAACAGAGTGAAGAGAACTGGGCTTAGCACACAGCCCTGTGGTGTGCCTGTGTTCAGGACCAGTGTGGATGATGTGCAGCTTCCGATTCTCACCACTTGAGGCCTGTTAATGAGGAAGTCCTTAATCCAATGATACATCATTGCAGGCATTCCCAGATTGTGCAGTTTCAGTGCCAGTTTGTCTGGGATTACAGTATTAAATGCCGAACTGAAGTCAACAAATAGCATCCTGACATAAGTGTTAGGATGCTCCAAGTGGGACAGGGCTGTGTGTAAGGCTATTGAGACAGCATCCTCTGTTGATCGGTTCTCTCTGTAGGCAAACTGATGGCTGTCCAGACCAACAGGGATGACGTCCTTGATGTGCTTTAGAATGTTCCTCTCAAAGCACTTCATGATTACTGGTGTCAGAGCAACAGGGCAGTAATCACTGAGGCAGATAACAGCTGATTTCTTGGGCACAGGCACAATGATGGAGGACTTGAGGCACATAGGGACTGAAGCAAGACACAGGGACAGGTTAAAAATGTCCAAGAAAACTCCTGCCAGTTGGAGGCACTCCGCACTTCTTACCGGACATTGGCTGTGATGCAGATTTGCTGTTTTCCAACTGAAAAGAGGACGAAGAAGAATGGATGTAGCTGTTCTCATATTGTTCAGGTGTTTCATTGTGGTTAGAGGTCTACTAGAAACACTGATTAGTGACTTAATGTAGAGGTGGATGCCTTTTTGTGGCTAAACATCCAGTGGCATGAACCGTTTTAAGATTAATCTAAAAATAAAGGCTCTAAAGAGAAGCAGTCGGAACAATTCATGTGCATCTAAACTGTATATATTTCTGTATTTATATGCACTTTATTTTTATTTTTCCTGATGCACATTCCTTTTTTGTTTGCACATTCTTTTTCTTGTTTTGTTCTCTGTCTTGTTCACTTGTCTACTTGTTGCTTTACAGAAGGACATTGTATATACACACTGAGAGCTGCTGTACCCGAGTCACATTCCTCGTGTCTCCAACACACTTGGTCAATAGAGCTAATTCTGATTCTTCTCTAAGTGTCAACATCAATATTGAGTTTACACACTCAGTTTGTTCTCTGTTTCCACAGAAGGACGCCCAAACACTCATCAGTCATACTTAACAACATCTGTCATGGTTCAAGTTTGTGTCATCTTTTTCATTAATATCACCCTGTGTCTAGTTTGGTCTTGTGTTCGACTGAACATCAGCCACGGCCTGATTACTGTGATCAGTGTGCTTCCTGCCTTTGAACAGTCAGTTCCATTTGCTTTGACATGCTGCGGTTCTGCCACCGGAGCAAACCAGATGAACTGCTGCAGACTGGGTGTTCTTAGCATTTTGTCTTAATGTAAAGATGTGCCCTACATAAAGGACAATATGTCTTTAGGGTGGAAAAGCTGAAGAGGTCTGTGCCCCCGTCATCTGAGTGTGTGTTTTGTGTGTGTGTGGATTCAGGCACGCTGCAGCCTGTGTCACCATGGCGCTGGTTGTTCTCCATCTTGGTTCCCCTTGTGCTGACGATCAGAGCAGTGAGGAGACGCAGTCTGGATCGCTCAGGAGCCCTGGCAGGTTGGTGCGGCCGCTGATGAAACCAGGGAGTGTGATGAAAGTCACTTGTCATGATGAACCCTCAGAGTATCATACACTCAGGTCTGTGGAGTGTTGTTGCTTCTTTTAGCTCATTGTTGGTCTCTGTTTTAGCCTTGATTCCAGCAGTGTATGACAATACTTCCTAATGATAGATAATATAATTAGTGGAGCCTGGACCCACAATAGAGGAGCTTCAGGAAATTCATTTAACCTTTTGCTCATATTGACACTTGCCTGTCCACTGCTGCAACAGTTTGTAGTTGTGTAACATCTCCCAACAGCCTGCACAAAGAATCTCTTACTTCCTTGTAGCTCGGAATAAAAGCGAAGCAGTTCTGCATGGAAGTCTTGTGTAAGTGAAATAAAAATTCAAGAAGGCTCCACAGAGAGTGAAGTGTTCAGGTGCACTGTGTGGAGACCTGAAGTGAAAAGAAGTAAACGTTTTCTTCACTGTTACTTTACAAAGAGTGGGGTGATCGTTCATTTGCCCTATATGCCCCCAAAGCTCGGGAATATCCTGCCTCCTGAGCTTTGGTCTATAACTGAGTTAATGGTTTTTAAGTCTAAATTAAAAGCGCACTTATTCAGACCGGTGTTTGGCACTTAATTTTGGACTCCACTAAATGTCCTGAAACTCAACCGAGTCTGAGCAGAAGACTTACCAGGGGACGTGGTGCTGATTGTGGCTCAGAGTGAACTTCACCTGTCCTCAGCTCTGACTCATCCAGATGTTGACTCCATGTAGACCTTGCTTGTGCAGCCATACGAGGGTTTAGCTTAGTCTTTCAGCCCAGCAGATGTGCATTTGTTTAATACACTGAAAAAGCAACCAAGGCACAAAAATGTTAAAATGCCCTTATTCATTTTTTTTTTTTTTGAAGATTGGTGCCTTGGTTTTCAGTTTATTCATTAAGTTCCACACCCTCTGCCCAAGAGCAGTCTTTTTTTTTTGTCTTAGACAGGTTCTAAGAAGCCCTGCTAACCCACTGACCTTTATTAGATGGGCCATTGTATCTGGGCCAGATTGTCGCTTGACTTCCAGTGACATTTCAGACAAAGGAGATGAGGTTTTCTAGCCTTCCCATGTTCAGACCCTCAGTCAGGTGCTTAGAGGAGCCCATGGTGGTCGACCTGCCCTACAAGTCCTGATGAGTAACGAAGCTCTACCCTGTGGACATGCTGCACCTACTGTTCAATTTTTAAGTTGATGAAATAGAACTTAATGTTATCAGACATTAGTCATCTAATGTGCTGTTAAAGAGAGGCTTGTTGACTTCACTGACTCGAGTTTCTTTATATGCTGAACAGGAAGGAGTTTAAAAACCATGTTCTGATCTGCTCTGTGTGATTCAGTGATTTTGGTCATTTCTCACTAAAGCTCTGTCTGACAACAGCTCATTCAAACTTATCTGATGATGGTGGAAATGTGACTTGACCCAGGGCAACATTCTCCTGGAGACAAGTCACTGAGGACAAAATGCTTCTTTGTGGCCAAACAACCAAAATGAATCAATTTGAAATCCATAAAAACATTTTCTGAAAGCAGTGGATGACAGATTCTCTGACACCACGCGGCTGTTGCTGCGGAGTCTGCTCAGTTAGTGGAGAGATGAGAACACTGTGGCTTGTCTGATTCATATTATGTACCAGATGTTCCAAGAGGCAAAGTACGGAAAACCCCGATCTAAAATCCAAAAGCCAAGATATGAGGATGAAATGTAGATGCCATTCTTTGGCTTGACGGTCTCAAAAAGTAAGGCAAAGTAGAATCTAGCTACCAACAAGTCCAATGAAAAGAGCCAAACCAACTCTGAATGTCTTCTGTGTGAATCCAAAGCTGGATCCCTCTCTTTCCTCTGTGCCACAGAGCTCCTCTGGGTGGCCAGATGTGGATTCATCCGCTGCTGAAAATAGTCCCCAACAAATTAGTGATGTTAAATATGATCTACAGTGACTAGTGGTTAAACAAAATCACTAAACCTTTTTAAAAATGATTCTGTATTTGTGAGGCATTTGCAATTATTTTATGGGACTACACTGGACAAGTCGGTGTCGACCTTTAACCTTTTCAGCAGTGTCTCTGCATATAGACAGTACAAGCTGCTGGTTGTCATCCATGTTGGTTCTAGTGCACGTTTGTGTGTTCTCTTGAGACCTGTGGTGTCATCTACAAAAGGGTTAGGCGTTTTCCTGACTGTCAGAGACCAGAGGAATCTGTGGAAACAATTTTTATAAGGTTTGTTCAGGCATTCTAGGTTTTCATGAGTTTTCAGTTGTTGGTTATTTCCTCTATTAACTGTGCTGTCTTGTCAAACATAAGAGTGGAAATGCATGTGTTAAAATGCAAGGCATGTCAAAATTGCTCATTATGTTCAACTAAGAGTTTATTATTAAATATAACTTGTCGCGTTTGAGCAGCTGGAACCAGGAAACGTTGGGTGTTAATGCTTGAAAAATTAGTAATTAAAATAGATGCTCATTAACAATTGTCAATCAACTTATCAATTAACCATCTAATAATTACAGGTCTACTCCCAAGCCCAAGACGCTGGTTTGAGTCTGTGCATCAGGTTTGCTGGTAACAGCAGTGTGTTCTGTGTGGTGACTTTCTATCTGAGTGGAGGTTTCACACGGTTTCTGATGTGACGTCCGTTTCCTCAGCTCTCCTGGTGGGGTTTGCGTTGACAATGGCCAACTACAGTTTCTTCTCCGCCCTGCTGGCTTTCTTCATGTCTTCCTCAACACTGACCCGCTGGGGAGGAACAGAGAAGAAGAAAATAGATGCCGAGTACAAGGAAGGTGAGAGATGTGCAGTTTTTTTTAAAGGGTGATCTAAATTAATATTCAGGTGTAATGACTTAGTGTCTGTGTTAGGAGGCCAGAGGAACTGGGTCCAGGTCTTTTGTAATGGAGGAGTTCCCACAGAGCTGGCACTGCTGTACATGATAGAGGTAAACACACAAGGACATGTTCCCAATTGTCTTCACAAAGCCTGCTAATAATCAAAATAACTTCTATGTGCTGGTTGTGTTTCAGGTGGGCCCAGGTGAGATCCCCATTGACTTCGGTAAACAGTACTCTGCCTCCTGGATGTGTCTCTCTCTAGTGGGCGCGCTCGCGTGCTGCAGCGGGGACACCTGGGCGTCAGAGGTGGGGCCTGTCCTCAGCCAATCACAGCCTAGACTCATCACCACCTGGAAGGAGGTCCCAGTAGGTGAGAGACCTGAGAGCCAGTTCTCCAGCTGTCCTCGCTCCCCCGTCCTCTTACCTGCTAGTTTGTCTTGATACTTAAATGTGTCTCACAGGAGTGATGACAGAGGAAGCAGGGGCATGACTGTCAGTTCAGTGCTTTACAGATGGTCTGACAGAACAAATGTGAAAGGGAAAAATGATTTCATAGAGCACATTTTAAAATGATCAAGCTTAATAAATATAATTAACAATATAAAACAAAACTAGAGCCACAACACATTTTGGCTTCGAATCACAGGCTCCACTGAAGCTTTAGTTGAAGTGAAAAGACTCATCGCTCTGTAGCGTCTTTCTTCAGCTGCCAGTGAAGCATTTTTGTAGCTTCTCTGCAAAAATGATCAGCTGATCATTAAATACAGGAGACTCCCAGTTCAGCTTTTTAGGCATCAAATCAGTACTTGAGAAGCAGGAGCTCCGTTATTTGGATCAGGCAGCTTGTGAAGAACCCGGTGTAAAAGTTGGAATGTTCCAGCTCTTACTGGTTGTGTTTCCAGCAACGTTTCATTCGTTCTACTGCTCACCTCGTGTTCATGGTGGAGCTCCAGGTGTTAATATTAAAGCTGAAAACTGTAGCATGTCTGCATCTCACCCAAACAACTGATCACAGATCCAAGCTGAAGCTATTTGTAACTTTATTTACTTGCAAATTTTGAAATCTAAATGCAATGAGATTAAATAAGGGTTTTTGAGTAGATTCAGATGTGATGAGTGGATTTGGATCGAGTGCTGCCCTGCTCTGCTCTACTCTGCTCTACTCTGTCCTGCCATCCTCACTTTCTGCTCTGTGGTCCTGCAGGAACAAACGGAGGAGTTACTCCCGTTGGATTGGTCGTCAGCTTCCTTGGTGGGCTCGTGGTGGGCGTGGCTTACTTTATATCGCAGCTTCTATTCGTCAGTGACCTGCATCTGGCGGATCCCCAGTGGCCAGTGGTGGTGTACGCCGGTGTGGCGGGCCTGGTGGGATCCATGCTAGACTCCTTCCTGGGAGCTCACATGCAATACTCAGGTAGCAACACTAGTGTCTCCAAAAGCATTTTATTCATGTTATATTCAGTTATTGTCATCAGTCTGCAGAGTATTTTCTTAATTAATTACTCTTTAAACATATTTTGTCCAAAACCTAAACATATTCAGTTTACTATCACGAAGGACCAGCAAATATTTACATAGAAGAAACTGGAACTAGAGACTAGTTTGGATTTGTAATTGGTTTTCCAAAAAAAAAAAAAAAACTGCTTTTTAATTCTTTTGTCGATTGACTAAGCAAGAAATTGATAATTTCACTTGATTGTGATGATCACGTCTACATGAGTGTTTGTTGTAGACCAATAACAGATGTGGATTTCAGATGATTCACTTTGCATTGCTGTCATTAAAGGGGGAAAAATGGATCTTCTCATAATTATGAGATCTTTTCTTCTAATGTGTTATACAGGGGTTGGAACGTGGCAGATTTGAAGGAGTTATTTAGTATCAAAGTAATTCACTGATAGATGTCAGTACATCCAACAGTGGATAGCAAACGTGAACTGTTGTAGCTAATTCTGTGTGCTAGTGTTCCAAAACAAACATATAGACCAAAAACGGGCTTCAGAGTTGCCGCCTACAGTGTAACTCACTATATACATGCACTGAGCAGCAGAAGCTTCAGAAGCTGCTTGAGAAACACTAGGATTTGAGGCCTGTTTTTAGGCTATATTTGTTTGTCCAGTAGCAGCTCCTCCTTCCTGAAGGCGATAATGTTCGGTTTGTGTCCAAACTGTTTCCCAGAGGTGTTGGTTCACCTGTGTGATCATTTGAGGCTGGAGTTTGTGTTGCTGTTCAGCCGGACCGAGTTATACTGAGGACCATTTGTGATTTAGTCTAGCCTCATTGATATAAATGGAGTGGACTAACGCTGGCCCCAGACTAGACGACTTTTAAAGAGTAGACAAATTTCCAACATCGGAATAAAATCACAAAAGTCCTGTCATGCTCACGTCATCTCAAACGTTTGGTGTAAGGTGGTGATCCGCGCTGTTTTTAAGTCACATTTTCTCATCTTGACATTCCAATAAAATCAACCATATTTAATATCATGACCCATCTTTAGTCTTGGCTCACGCAGTCAGTGATGTGAACATCGTAAACAGCCAGTAGGTGAGCTCTCTCCAGCACCGAACAGGAAGCAGCACAGCGGGCACCGAAATGGCAGTAAACACATAATAAATCTATGGGTAAATTTGACGGTGACTCCGGGCCTCGGCAGCCACGGTTCTGTTGAGGCATTACAAAGAAGGAGAAACTGGTGGAGTTATGGCAGACCTTGCTGTCTCCTTTTAGTCAACTAGAGTCAAGTCTACATTCTGCCATCTTCTCTTTGTGGCTGTTTTTTCCAAGCAAAACACTGCCCCACAGTGTAGCTGTAGCCAAATGCAGGCGCATACGGGACATCTCAAGAGAAGTCTAGTTGCAGTCTTGCAAATAGTGACTCTGCAGGATCCTAAGTCTTTGAAAAACCAGAGTCTGACTAAAAACACTGTCTGTGGATGTGAGAGGGTGTCAGACCAAGTCTTTTCTGAGGCTTATAGTCTTTTGGTGTAAGGCTGGCATCAGTAACGGAAACATCTCAGTACAACACAGTCCGGACTGAAATGATCGCACAGGTGAACCAACACCTCTGGGAAACAGTTGACACAAACTGAACATTATCGCCTTTGTGAAGGTGGAGATACTGCAGCATCGTTGGATTAGACCACTGTTTATTTTATTTACACTCTATGCAGAATGTAATTTTTAAAGAATATCTTTGGTTTTTGAACCTGCTGTTTCCCTTACAAGTGGAGAAAATGACTCTGGAGCTGATTTTGCCGTCACTAGCTCTGTTGCACATATTCAGGGAAACAAAGTCGTGTTAAACGGCGTCACTGAGGCAACAGGTCAGCCTCAGAGCGCGCTCACAATTAACATGTCTGTCAAAACATTTTTCATGCTGACTGCCACCATGTTTATTCTGAGCGCTCTCTGAGGCCGCAGAGTCACTCTCTCCTGTTAGGCAAAATACAGCAGGTTCAAAAAGTCCAAAGTTCTCCATTATTTGGGATTTAAGGACCAGTGCCAAGAGGCTAAGAACTTCTCAGGTTATAAAAACAATAAGTTCTTTCATGCTGCTTGGATAGATAAGGCCAGTGATTCTCTGTTTATTTTAATTCCCCACCAACCCCGTCCACAGACCAGCAGCACCAGTGAGCGTGGTGTCCTCACCGTAATGTGTGTGAGTCCAGACTCTGGTTCAGCTCATCGCTCTGTACCGTAGACCTCCACTAGCTCTTAACCCCCCCAGTGAGCCACACTGCTGGAGGTCGTCTGTTTCCAACAAACGACTCCATGTCCTGAGAAGGGTGTTACTGTGCACCGTGTCTAAAGAAAGAGTCGCTGCTCCAATGGCTTCTGTGCTGTTAGTGCTACATGTAACAGCACAAGAAGCTGGCAGATCATGCACATGCACAGCTGTTCCTCCAGAGACTAAAAAGTTGCTGGACAACAGTGGAGGTCTACGGCACAGACCAATAAGCCAAACCAGGCTTTGGATTCACACTCGTAGTAAGAAAACCACATTCACTGATGCTGTTGGTGCCTGGATGGGATTTGTGCACAATAACAAACACTGAAGATCACTGGTGTTAAACAACTGGTGGTGGTTACCCCCATACAGCTCTTGCTGGTGAATGTGGAAGGTTTCAGATTTCTTTACTGGCTTTTGTGTGAAAACATTGTGGAAGTACACAAACCAATTTTGAGCCTGTTTTGTTTGTAAATGAGAATTTGAGTCACAGATTTGTAAGAATGGAATCAGATGTGAGGGAGGACCTCTGCTGTTCATTCATGACACTGTCCTCCCTTGCTTTCAAATCTGATTCTGCTCTTACAAGCGCGTGACTGCGGACTCTCAAAATCTGACTTGCAAATTGAATAGTGCTCAAAATGTTTGTGTGACTTCAGACTGTTCAGTGCCAACAGTTTCACACCAGCCAGTGGAGAAAACAGTGCAGACTCAAACGAGCACACACACACACACACACACACACACACACAACTGTGCTCTCAAATGTTTTGGTGGGGATGTACCTTCTGGACAGTTCACGTTGTTCGTTGCTAACACCGTCGACTTGCTGCACATTTGTTTACATCCTGTAGAGACTGAACAAAGAATGGGAATGAAAACCTGCAGTAACTCCACCAACCAGACGTTTGCTTTTCCTGTCTTTAGGTTTTGACTCAAGCATCGGGAAGGTGGTGAGTTACGAGTCTGCCACCACCAAGCGTATCTGTGGGAAACCCATCTTAGACAACAACGCAGTTAACTTGTTCTCCTCGGTCCTCATCGCACTAATCCTGCCCGGGCTGGCGTGGGGGTTGTGGCCACAATAAAGTGCTGACAGATAAATAACGTGGAGGACTGTTGATTTCAGACTAACAACCTTCTGCAGTGTTTCATACACTTAACATTTCTGATGGAAAGTTAAACAGTTTTAGTGAGCTGCAGAATAATTAAATTTTAGAGTCCGCAGCACAGACGTCAATATAAATAACAATACAATTGAAAGGAATATGTGTTCTATGTTTCTGAAGCCAATTGTTGAAAAGGAAATTATAGAGATAGTGAACAAATGTGGTAATAAATCATCCAGTGATAGTGATGGTATCAGTATGACAATGGTTAAATGGGCAAGCGAGGGGATATGCAAGCCATTAACCCATGTTTTTAACATGTCGTTTCGACTTGGTCAGTTCCCCAATAATATGAAAATAGCAAAGGTAATTCCATTGTATAAATCTGGTGATAAGCACAACTTCACAAATTATAGACCGGTTTCTCTGTTGTCACAGTTTTCAAAAATCTTGGAAAAACTCTTTAA